TAAAAGTAACTCCGGAATTAATATAAACCGCTAAGGCTACAAATTTGCCTGTTTTATTACTGCAGTCCAAAACCAGGTGCTGTTTTGCGTTCTCTGCACTGCAGAAGCTAAGGTACCATCTAGCCGGACCTCTTAAAGTGTAATTCTGCTTCGCGGTATAAATTCGGATGATTGACATAAAATAATATTAATATAATGTGCGTTATCTGACAGACATGCTGAAGACAAAATGCAACTCGTTTTAATCCGATGGTATATCATTTTATTTTAATCCGATATGCTTGAAAGTAAAAAAAGACTGTCCAATCTATGCTGCAGATTAGTGAACTGAGAAGGCTGAGGTCAAGTGCCTCCGGTAGCACCTCTGGCTAGCATGAGTTAAAAATATGCACACTAATCGGCGAAGCTTGCAATACCACGTGGGAACTAAATCTAATTGTGATTATGAAGAAAAGCTTAGCGATGACGTGTTATAATTTCTTAGTGCACCTACCATCACTAATTGTCATGAGTGCAGAATACTGACGAAACCAATGTGTCAAAGTTTCAAGCAGTAGAAATGAAGTTCTTCTGAAGGACTGCGGGTGTGACGAGACTTGACAAAGTTTAGAATATTAAAATCCAAGATGCCTTTGCAAATAAGTAGTTCCTTCTCAAGATGGAGAGCACTACTGCTATGGTTTGCGCACGAGACGAGAATATTAGAGAACAGACTCACGAATATCTCTTTTGACAAAACAATTCAACAGGCGGCTAGAGGGAGATCGAGGACTAGACTACTAAACTATATTAGGGTCTGGCGTTGCCGCGTGTTGGAAAATGTCCCCTGATCGTGTTTGATTGGCAACTGGCCTGATTCTATGTTACTTTAAGCCGCTTGGCTACTTCAGTCCAAAATCTGTAAAGAATACTGACCTATGAAGATGGAAAGGTGGCGTACAATCTGTTTGCTCCTGATGGATGAAATAGAAAAAACTGATAAGGATCCTTTACGTCCTTCAAAACTCCAATGCTTTCCTGATTGCCACTCTCAGAGTAGTCTTCTTCGTTGCATGGTCGCTAATGAGTTTCAGGTATGTTTAAAGTAGCAACAGCATGTAAGACTAAGGTCTTCTAAAACTAGCTTGAGTGAATTTTTTCTCTTTGTTTCTATGAAATGCATAAATGTATAAAAGAATATAATCAAACTATCTCACTAACAAAATTAAGTTCGACACTAGAAGCACCAAAAATTCGATATCTGCAACAAAGTGAAATTAAATACTGTATAGCCGATGGGCAGCAGTAATACAGTAATACTTCCAGCATCAGTTCTTTATTGTTGCTGTGTGTGGGTCGGAGAGGATTTGTTAGTTTCCATAATAGCCAACTCCCTTTAGTTTTATGAAAACCATCCACAGTCACCGTAATGACTTTCTAAGTGAACCTCTTCTTCCTGGTATGCAATACAGTAATATGGCAGTAACCTCTGCCTCCAAACACGAAGCAGATTAACGTTTGATTTAATGAACCAATTTTTTGGTTTAGAGTAGCAACGGCTCAGTTACACAAAAACCAAAATGACGATTCTGCAGTTAATGAAGGATTGATCCAATATGTAAAACATAAGCGTCTAATGGTTTATCTATGGAACCTACTAAAGAATCTTTCAGCCAGGCAAAAATAACTACAAGCAGATTATGGTTTGGTGGAATTCCAGTAAACAAAATTTTTTTATTCATTTACTTGAAAAAGGAAATAGCTTAAAACGATTTGCTCTTGGAAATGATTGTTTGAAAAAATTATTTTCTGAATCGCTACTACGTTTCCTTACGCCGAACAGTATTTCACCAGGAAAAAACAACACAGAATGCGCAGAACACTGTGCTATGAAGATGGTTTTGTGACTCACGTTCATCTTCTTATTAGATATATTTTATTGTATATACTGTAAAAGTGCAACTACGGTACTGGTGCTTGCTAATATAGTACCAACTACATTGGCAGAGTACAAGCAGCACAACGCGGAAAGGCAAATTCGGTTGAAGATCAAATTACTCCCCTGCTGTAACATGTTAAAGCGCTGTGGTTTTGGCGTTGGTAACAAACCATATGTACAAATCCCAGATTTGTGCGACAGCGCTGCTAGAAAAACCTGCAAGTTTAATAATGCAGACGATTTGACTCCAAGATATCTGAAAGATCGACCATAATTGCTGTCCGCAGTCAAATTTCACCGCCCCTTCACGAATAATGCATGGCTATCAAAGTACACGAAGATCTAACTTGCCGTTTGTCGAAGTAAGGGAAAGAAGTGCACTGTTCTTATGTCAGTTTTGAATTGGCTGAAAAACGCTAGTAGTCTAGACTAAGAGAGCCTGTTATTTCTTTTACGATGTGCTGAGCGGTCCGTTGACACTCAGAAGGAGGCTAAAATCTCCTGACCAAAAATGCTGAATGGTCTGATATCACATAATTCTGGGCTACTCCGTTGTTCAAGATGTATGAGTCTTTGACGATAGTGATGAAGCAACGACACAAACGATGTGTATTTAAACGTTTCTTTTTTGAAGAAAGGCATACCAAGTCCATTTGGATGGAAGGATGATGGGCCACTGTCTATATATATCCAAAATATTTCCATCCTTCCTTCTACCGTTTGAAAATAAACTTACTAGTAATGGGCAGAAAACAGAAAAATAACCGGTGATCGACATTATCACCTTTTGTGCCGCTTGCTGGTTAAGACCTGTAAACTGCGGTGTACTGATATTTTCAAGGCTTTACATTCGTCGTACCAATCCCTTGAATGAAGGGCAATATATGTTTATTTATTTTATTAAACATATATGCTGAGAAAACCCAAAAACTTGGAAATAAAGCTCTCAGGGTTAAGATCGTATCGTCTGAAATAATTACTACCATTATTATGAGGTCAGGCGGGTTCGAAGGAAGTGGCTAAGGAAGCGAGTAGAGAACTGTTCAATTAATGAATGACGAGTGAAACATCGTAGTACTGTAGCTTTTGTAATACAGAACAGATATGATGTGCTTTGCTAATCTCATAGTCTGTAGAAGCAAGGCACTCAATAGAATGAATACCCTGTTAAACCGGTCGATTTATTTGTTGACAAATCCAAATTTTAGCTTTAAAATCCCGTTTAAAACTGAAATGAGGTCAATCAGCCATGCTGAACATTTTCTAGATTCCCTCTTAGCAAACCGCCGTTCACGAATGCCAATTTGAAAGAAGTTATTGATCTTCATCATCCGCAGGAATGAACACATCCCAGTCTTAAGCAGCGATAGCTGGATGCCTGGATTTGCAATACTGTAGCATCGAAATTTGAACTGTGACATTTTAATTGTAGCTGCTGTCATGGTTGACAGTCTTGGCTGGATGCTGAATACATTTTCTGTAGTTATTTCTGATAATTTCTTATATTCTTTTAAGTAATTTCAGAGTGGCAAATTCGTTAACCTGCCAGTTCAAAGTGAATAGATCGGTTCGACTGCTTTTCTAAAAAATATTTATTTGAACGTTAGAGATAAATAAATGGCCTAAATGAACTAGCTAACTAAATCTAACCTGCATCTGAACTTCTCAAACGGCAAGGTAACCCTACAACGTAATAAATATGCTAAACCAATTAAGCCTATTAGAGCTTTCACTATAAGTAAATTGTCTGATTGTACAGCAAGGCCGTCACTTTCTGGTGAAACGTCAGATCTGCTTAGAAGCCAGTTTATCAAGATACTGCAGCCATTCTCGAATGACTTAAATGCCTGAACATAGATAAGTCAACGGTAAATGTGCTCAATCTCTTTATATAATTGAAATGGGAGCATAGCTTCTCCACATGGCAATACGTTCAAGCATGTTCCAAAAAGTGCTGAGGTTGCAACCATGCGTCAAACAATCATTAGAATAACTAACTGAGAGTACTTTGGAGTATTTCATAGTGCCAGTTTCGGGGATCATAGACTCGTTAGCTAACATCACCCACTGAAGATACTGCCTTTCTTCATTCTAAGCTGTGAAGCTTGAAGGCCTGGATGCATTCGAAAAATTTCTCAGATCATTCATTTCTGCAAGCACTTTGTCACTATTACGTATGCAGTTCTCATAATATATCCGATACTGTTGCTTGTAACTTCGTGTTTTTTATTGATAACTCGGTATTTCACTGGACTTTTGATCTTTACTATAGACAACAATGTTATCAAATTCTGCGTACCTTCGAAGAGCAATATCTGAGAGTTGAGCAAAACGCTTTAACAACCTCAGTAACGATTATCATTCTCAGAGTCATAAGCCATTATGATTTCGTCCACTACGCCACAGATCATCAATGAACCTCAGAGACCCAGAGTGAAAGAACTACTGTACTAGGTTCGGAGTGCACCAACATTGCTTTGTTTAACTTCTCCAATTAGTTAGTATGCACAAGTGTAGGCTATGGCTTAAGCGGTTCAGCGGTGAAAACCACAGATCATCGGTTTAGACTGGACAGCAAATCAGTTTATTCCATGCCAATATCCACAGATTAAATTCTTTGAGGTTCATTGATTCTTCTTATAAGCATCCCCGCAACACCTCACACAAAGCATTGCTAAAAACTGTGAACTGACATTATAAAGGTAAGCGAAATTCAAAACACATCCATGAAGTATGGTGGTAAGAAAGCTGTTTAATGTTTTCCAGCAACTGCATCAGTACTTGCTTAAGTTAAGGTAAGGGTCTTGCCTGAACATTATTTCACAAAATTCTATTTTCAGTCGTACAACAAAGAATGAAGTGAGAACACTGCAGAAATATTGTACAATCAGACAACGTTCTGTTCTGCTACCACCCCGTACTTGTTATTGTTATGCTTTCCACATATTTTATTCTACTTTCATGATACAGTGACCTTCGTGAAAGCTTCTGAAGTTTCTGAAAGTTTCTAAAGTTTCTGACAGCTGTAAATGAATGGGAAATTTGAGTAATAAAACAATAAAATGTTTATGCAATTCGTTACTGTCGTATGAGTATGTTTCGACCGGTTTTGCTGTGAGATGGTTCAGCAGGCTGTCAATGGAGAACGACGAAGATTTCGATGACGATGCTTCTGCGTCTTTGACGATGTTCACAGCAGAGTAGGCAGGCAACAGTGTCTTGGAGCACCCATACGCCACTCCAAAATCAGCGACGGGAATCGACCGAAACTGAAGACCGACCGGAAAACAGGAGCCGTTTTCATAGCAGGTGAATCCAAACGGACCGGCGAACAAGTTCGCCGGATACATGGGCCAGTTGAAACCTGAAAACTTTGACTGTAGCGTGAAGCAGTTTCACATGGCGTATACTATATCACATCACGTAACTAACCGCAGTGTGTGAGTATCAGGTGATTAGTAGAAAGACGATGAAAACTGACAGATGAGAGGCAATGCGAACATAGCGATTGCAGAATCAGCAGCTTCAGAAGCAGCACGTTTAGGTGAATTCCTCAGCGAGCTCTACCTCTTGCTCATTAAATGGAGAAAACGGAAGAATGAATCGTACTCGACTTATGTTACAGTCACAAGACTCTGTCATAAATATTGAAAATGTTATTAATCATTTTGCTTCTATGATGGGCAGTACAAGAGATCATTTTTCAGATCCCCGATCGTTGCCGCAACTTCCCGTATGTAGATGAAATGCAAGGCATGAACAACGAGCATATAATCATGGCCATGAGTCTATGCAGAAATAATCATTTGACATATTTATTTTTTAGATGCGTGTAATTTTTTAACACAATCCTAGCAGTAATCCAACGGAAGCCGAGTGTGTTGCCATGGAGTGTATGTAAGCGTCTGTTCCGATGTGAAAGCAGGTCGTTTCAGAGTTTGCTGGCTGTCAAAAAGAAGAGCAACGTCCCACGCTTCGTGAGTGGGTTGCGATTAATCGCTTAAGTAACATGATTAAGCTGAAAGAGGTCTGATGAAAACCCTCAAGCACTATAGGGCGAATCTCACGAATACTTGGGAGGAACATATGAGGAGTTTTAAAATTTTGGCCTGTAGGCGATCCAGATCCCAACATACGTCAACCAAGGACGGAAACAGAGCATCAGCAAAATTTTGCTCTGCCATAAAATTGGCTTGTTGATATAGTGATAACTACCAAGGAGAGCTGCAATGTCCAGCTTCTCGTGAAGGAGTGACAAGAGGCTTAAATTATGTGATTTTGGCGAGAGATATCTTGTCAAAACGTTTAAACATTATAAAGAAAATTTGTCTAAGGGATGGTGGATAATCTTGAAAAAAACTCAATTAGTATATCCTTAATCACTCAATGCAGGCTGAAACCAATAAACTGGGAGTAACTTTGTCGAAAATCGAATACTGTACCTAAAAACGGACCAAACTGTTTCGCTAACACTGGACCATAGCGCGTACACCAACTTTAGCTATCTAGGTTTCAAGTTAGAATGTAATGAAGAGGATTTGCGCCAAACATTTATGCTCTATGGCATCTTATGCAGTTTCTAAGTAAAGACATGACTGCATGCTGAACCCATCAAGTAAACGATCTTCACTGGCTAAAATGGTCATATTCACGGAGAGGTTGCAAGATGCAGGAATTTACTACGGCCATCTTGAGATTGAGTCTGAGTTAATGATTTAAGCTTTAACAGTCAAAACTCAATTTGCCTTCAACGTATTTTATAAGCGTATTATAGAAGCTAAAGCAGCCCAGACTATGGACTAAGCAAATATTAATCAGTTTCAGTAAGTAAGAAAACTGCATATCTTACCGCGCTGAAGCATACCTTCAAGACGATTCGCAGCCGTTTCTATTAGCACGTTTACTTTATGTGGAAGTTCCTATTTACGACACCGTTACGCCGTCTCTGGATAGGTCACGTGTAGTGCATTGGTAGCCATTCACGCAAGCTACCGTAACCAAAATTTCTACTGAACGACTTGAAACTGACTGGTCGCCTTCCGATGCGTAGTCACACCCCTTTGGGACAACAGTGCTTGCCGATGAGATTTAGCCGGCCAACGAGAGAGGCAGTTGAGGTAAACAGAAGTGCTGTAAGAAATCTTGAAGCCAGAGGTCGCGTATCCTTTTTGCCTGTGCTACTCAGTAAGGACGCATCTAATTGCCACTTTGACCCGAAGCTCGCTGAGCTAATAAAATTTGGCCTGCTGGCCTTACATGGTGACTACTCTCTGATTACGTCATCGTTTGAAGTGGCCCATTCACGGTCAATTAAGACCACAGCTTTCGCTTCCAATTCGTCGGCCGCAGCTTATATATTTGATTTTCACGTATACTTGTCATCTAATTTTGCGCCCAATTACCGCAGCCGGTCCATCGATCTGCAGTCGGCGACGGCACTACCGCGAAGCCATGGGACTGTCTCCGTATTCAATTAGTGCATTGTCGATCCGACGTCTGACTTTCCGTGTGTACGGGTGGTGCAAAAACGGTTAGCCGCGGACAATTACCGTAACCGAACGGCAATATGGCAGACTTAATCAGTTTAGGAAGTAAGGCAAACGCCGGAATTACGGTAGCCGTAGCAAGTAAACGGTATTTAAGCTTATAAGCGACTGTTAGTATGCCTTGCAGTGGTTCTTCCGCTAATCGAATTTTCGGGGTTAATGCGCACCAAGTTTGCGTTGTTCGTTTGATGTTCCATGAGGCACAGATGAGTGGCTACCCTCCCTCCGAATCACTAATGTTCATTTGTGTTCCAGTCGGAGCGCAAAGTCCAAGTGACGGTCCAGTGTCCGCATGTAAAAGCGCTATAGATGGACACTGGCTGACCAAGCCGCCAGAATGATGGCATTAATTACCGCCGTCGTGAATCATGACCGCCACTGCCATTGTTGTTCGGTTAATGCCGTTTGTCTCCAGCGAAATTGATCGATTCACTGCGATAAGTAAGCAGGTTCTCCTCATTCTTCACCGTTGGTCGTAATGACCGAGAGTCCCTAAGGTGGACATCGTCGCGTGCGGTCAATGACGATTGCGCAACTGCAGACGGCCGTCAGCAGATGCTATCAAAACGTACACGACGCTCCGAAATAACATTGGCAGCGAGCAACGGTCGAAACGCTGTTATCACCGCCCCCTTCTGTCGTTCTACGTATATTACGGCAGAATAGATTAGTGAAAGAACGCTGTGTAATCGAGATGACTATATATAACGTCAGCGTCCGACGAGTGTCACTCACTTAAGAAGGTTGAACACTGCGGTCATCATGATGTTCAGTTTCACGTGTCAACCCTGATAGAAAACGGGCGAATCCATCACGGTGTTACACATCTAAAGGTCTTGTCGTTTAAGGCAAGCTACGAAAACTAACCTATAAACAAGTTTTGAATTTTAGATCATATAGAAAGGAAAAATACATTCGTGTTTACTGTTCTTCGTGTTTGGAACTTGTATGGGCTTCGCCGTATTTTGACCAGGAGCGATATTGTCTACCACTGGAAGTGTTACGGAACGCGAAAGTTATTTAAGGCAAACCCAAAGGATAAACGTTGCTCTTGTGAACCGCAAGTTGCGTCACGCCTTGCATGACGGAATT